ATATTTGCTGCATTTATCCCCCTTTTTTCACTTTGATGTGATCATGCAAATATTTTTTAAACATTAATCAGAGCATTTTGCAATAGTTTTAATATTTCATGTTACTTCTTTAAACTTAAATCTTATATTCAAGGTGAGTTATTGATAGATATTTAGTAATATAACCTCTCCTTATTATCATATGCAAAACACTCTACAGCCATTAATATAAGAATACTAATTTTCCAATTAAATTTGTATCAACTTAAATGCCAAAAGTACCAAATGATTAAATTAATAGCATGCCTATTTGTCACACAGACAGACTATGTAAAATGTATTCTCAAAAAGACTTGGCATATTTTGGTATTTTCTCATAAATAGTTTTCTACAAATAATGCTTCATTCATTTATGTATTAATCATCAATTTTCACTTTATTTGTTATCTTAACACAAATATACAGTTAAGAAGATAATTTGGGGACAATTATAAGTGTAAGGGAGGGAGAAGCCACTGATTCCTAAGAGAGAGAATAAGGATGAGACTAAAGCAGTCTGAATGGAATCGGTTTTAATGATGGGTTTGCACAATGACAGCCACCACCTCTGTACCTCTCGTTAGATAATGATCATCCTAAATTAAAGTTTGGTGGGTTTTTTCTCTAGTGGTTGCATTCCAAAGGGGGGCATGCAGTATTTCATTGAAATTCCTTTTTTCTTTGCTTTGCAGATTTAAAAAGGAAAAATAAATCTCTCAGTTCTTATCATCATAAAGACAGAGAAAGAAGATATTCACAGTTGCTATCACTAAAAAGCAAATCCTGAATAAAAGGGAGTAACTCTTCTCCTTGGATACATTAAGTAGCAACACACCACAAAAGAGGAAAAAGAAATCACTTCAGGGAGTTGTGAAATGCAGTTTCACTTACCTGAGCACAGACTCCAGGAGCTGAAAGCCAGGAGTAGCATGCATACCAGCTGCATTTTCATTGCTGCCATCATCTCTTTCAGCCGTCTAGCAAGCCAAGTCCATAAAAGTCAGAAACGCACTGAAAGGGGCTCTCTCTAGTTCTTCCTCTTGCCTTCGGCTGGCTTTGAAAGTGAGTGAACTATGAGGGATGCTCTAGCCATTCCCTACATATATATAAGCAGGAGGATGATGTCATGATTGTACAGGGATTATCTTTTCAGGATGTGCCCTGCCTTCCCCTTTATCCCTCCCCTCCTTTCCCCACTTCCTCCTTTGTCCCCCACTATCCTCCCCCACTTCTGAACCTTGAGTGAAAGTGACGATCTTCCCTAATTGCTGCTGCTGCTCTGCGTTTCTGACGCACAGAAGGAATCATTCAAAGCAGTGCCATATGCAGCGTCCTGGAAAAGAACCCTCGGTGTCATTCTTGCCCCATTTCCTCCCATTCCCCCACTCCAAAAAGTTGTCATTTTGATTTTATAAAACATAAAATCTGTTATTTCTAATATTTAAGCAAAATTTCCAGATGAATGTATGACATCAGTAATTTTTTAGGTTTGGAAGTTCTAAAAGAGTTAGGGTACTTTTCTGGTAATCCAAGCTTCTCAGCAAATGTTTTGTGGTTTCAGAACTAATGTAAGTTTTAGATAATACATGGTAGAATAAGAAAGAATATAGTCAGCGAATCAGCTATAATGTAGGAATTAAGCAAATGAATTTAGAGAAAAGAGAGAAAATCAATAAAAAAGAAACAACAGCTCCAGGAAATAGGATATTATTTCTTAACAAATCCAAGCTTTTATTGTCAATAATTGGGAGAATGACTGAATTTTATATGCTGACGTTTGATTGAATGTCTTAGAAAAATAATTTCATGTTTACAAAACTGAGCTATAAATTATTTATGTGCTAGCAGGTGAAAATGTGTATTGTATCACGGATTGCTTTATTTCCTGCTTATTTTCTCTTTTTCTGTCTGCATTTTTCTGCTCATTTTGAATTCATTCTTGATGCTATATTCCATCCTTTCCGTAATCCCCTTCTCCCTCGTTTTCACCATTCCATCAACTTTTTTGTGGTATAGTTCTAGTTCCCCAAAAAATGC